ATGAGCAGTTGATAACTTTTTGCTTTTCGTTTTATAGTTTGGTGGTTTAAAATAAATTTAGTTTGAAGTGTAAGGGACAAGTGTCCTAAAAAAAATGATTTGATATAAACTATGTTTAATCAAATATAATAACCAAAAATTATTCGTATAACTGTCTATGAAGTTTAGTCGAATAATTTTTTATTCGAATACCATAGTTGAAAATCATTCGAATAATTATCTAGATAAAATTTTTTCAACACTGTTACAGGGGGGGGGGGGCAGATGAGCAGTTGATAACCTTTTTTTTTGCTTTTTCGATTTTATAGTTTGGTGGTTTAAGAAATAGAATTTAGTTTGAAGTGTAAGGGGACAAGTGTCCCCTGCCCCATCCTAGCTACACCCATTACTAGCTGTATTACCCATCCAAATTCTTTCCGGTTAAAATGAATCTATCTTTCGTTTACCGTTTTTTTTCGAGTACCTCTATAATAAAATATAGATTATAAAGCAACACCTTGTACATGTCACTATGTCAGTCGAGTTTTGATATTCACATAACATTCCTTCCCCGTCCAAATCAAAATGACATGAAGCAGACAGAAGTATGCAAGTGAGAAAGCTACAGCATCCTAGAAAATTGAGATTTTTAAACATTTCTTTTCATAAATTTCTTTTTACGACCATATCCATGAATATACAAGTTCACAATTTTAAAATTCTTACAATAATTCTTCTCCCCATAAAAGCAGGTTAAATGAAGAATACACTGAAACAGCTAGCAATAGGTCTCTCTAACTCAATCCAATTTTTAAAATTAACTTTTAATTTTGCAAATTTAAATTAAAGAAAAATTAGAAATCATTTCTGGATCGTTAAACAGAACTAGTTCACCCTAATTACATTTGGTTGTAAATATACTTATTTTTACTTCAATATGATAAATTAATTATACACATACGTAATACATGAAAATGAAATAAAATAATTGTATGTATATATACATTATAGTATAATACGTACATTAAATATAGGTAACAAAAATCATTTATCCGTAGTTAATGTAACTTACCTACATGGGCATATGTTATTATCACTAAATATATTTGAAATGTTTCCCGTTGATTTGGATAGAGTTAGCGATTTTAAGTTGCCAAAACAAAGCCTTAATATTCTCAAATTTTGTGTTACGTAATATGAAATTAATTTCAATAAACCAAGTTTTTTATTTTTTAGCAGTAGAAATTTTTAAGAGTTAGCATGAGGTAGTTACAACTTACAAGTATGAAAATACATTTATTTAAGTGCTATAGTATAAGTAATTACTGGACAATGATATTTTTAGTAGTGGATCTATTGTATCGAAATAATATATGGTGATACTATTAATCAGTGGTATGATTTTAATACTAAGTTAATTACCTATAAGGCTTTTAGAATGGCTAATTAATGTTTTCTATAGGTAGTTAAAATAAAACTATTGAGATAATGAGATTGTCTTTTAAAATCAAAAACTATGTAAAATATAAGACTTTATAAGAACCATAAGTACCTACGAAAAACATATCATAAAATACATTCAATCAATTATTAAATCACTATTTTGTACAAAAATAATGTATCTAGATTAAATTATTTAAAAATATTGTGTTATATCTACTGCGAGTACTAACATATCTAATTTATGATTTTTTTTTTTTTAAATTTATGATTTTAATACAGATAATTGTCAATTAATAACTAAATAGGTACCCACCTAAAATATATACCATACAGATGTTTTACATATTTTACTGATTTATGTATTAATTTTATTTATTTAGATGTTATTGAAATCGAGCCCATAACGTTCACAGTTAATTTCTATTACTTTCAATACAGAATTCGAGAAATAAGTCAAACATTTTTTTTTTTTTTGTTACTATAATTAACTCACTCATTATTATATCATAAAAATATATAACGAATGTAAGGATAATATTTTTTTATAAACGTAGGCAATTTTAACGCACTTCGTAGTACGTACTATTCACTATCCTAATTGAATTAAGAATATATCTATTAATATGAGCAGCTCATATTCAGCAAACGATACAGTGTTACAACTAAGTGTGGGAAAATTGAACAGTGATCAGAAAAAATATCCCAATTATAAATCAAAAATTCTACGATGGGTAAGCATTGAATATTATTTATATTTCCGAAATTAAATTTTAGATACTTAATCAATTATAAACAAAACAGTATAACACACATATACATATATAAATCATTAATTATCAAATACCATTATACGTATTATATTAAATAATAAATTTTATTTTATTTTTTATTATTATTACGGAGTATTGATGATATTACTACGTATAATAAACTTAATTTACCTGTAATAATGTCTTATTTACATCATTAATCCAGTCAAACAAAATATTTTATTTACATGAAATATGAAATAAGTAAATTTATTGATTTACGCCGAAATTTGGTAAAATCGACAATATCGACAGAGTAAGATCAATTTTTAACAATATTCAGTGATAAATCTAAAGTTATTTAACAGAGGGAAAAGATTATAATATATAAGTGATATACTAATAAATATTAATACTATTTTATTTAATGAAGACATGATAGTATGTCCGTGTTCATGTAAATTGGCAAAGACATTGATTTTTTGGTCTCACACGAATGGACACTGAAAAAAAAAATCAAATCGTAATATAATATTTATATAATATATATATGATCGTATTAAAATGTGCGTAATTTCTGATTATTATTTATATTATTTATAAAGACAAAGCAAAAATTTGTGAATTACGCCTTCCATTTACCTTTAAAAACGAATTTTTACGCGATTCACAGTGTCTTCCAAAGTTTGACCGTGATAAAAAGTTGTGGCTATGTCTAAGTAATAAGTATGTGTAAGAATTAATTCAAATTGAATTGATCAACCAATTTTAATTCCTAAATTAATCATAAAAAATTATAAACTCAAGTAGATAAAAACATGTCATTACCCAAATTTATCACAAAAAACTTTAAAATAAATGTATAAATGTATTACTAAAACTTACTTATATGTTACATTGTTCAGTAATTATTCATCAGTTATTATTATTTATTTTAGACAAACGACTATATTCAAAAATACAATTATTGATTAATACAAAATTAAAATAACTACAGTTATTAATAATTAATGTGCATGACAACACAGTTAATTTATGTGAATTCAATTGAACGCTGACTAATATTTGATGTCTTTGACAAACTATCAATAAGCTATTAATAATACTTGCTTGTTGTTTTTTTTAAGTTCAGAAGATTAAAGAACTCATCAATTAAAAAGAAAATCGTTTGTTTCATAATCATTGTGATTTGTTGTTTATTTTTTTACCTAAAAAATGATAATCCAGAGCAATCATACAAGGCCAACAAAGACTTTAAAAACTCATTAGATGGCAACGGTTATAAACAACAAAACGAAAAAGACCGTACAATTTTTGCTGATTTGTCAAAAAATATAAAGAAAAATAAAATGTAATCAAAATTCAAGTCTTCTTAAACTAATTAGATTGGCTTGTTCGACGTATTTTATTTTAATATAAATTATAAATGTCATACAATATGTTTAATTAAAAATATACTAGTAATTGGATAAGGTTTTATTTATTTATTTTTACAACCAATATACAATTTATGATAATTGGAACTTGGAAGTAAGTATGTGAGATAAAAAGAAGATACATAGTTATATTTGCAAAAAAAAAAAACAAGGAAAATACATATAATACTTAGAATATTGAGTTGAGAACTTAAAAATCACTCATTAATGACATGTACAAAGTATAATTGAATATGATTAAAATTTTTTTTTTTGTCTTTTATCGATTTATGTTTTGTAATTTTCTACAGTTATTATCTTTTATATTATCATAATATTAATGTATCTACATATTATATTTTAGATATTCAATAATAAATCTATATAACTTAAATAACTTAAGATTCAAGAGTAAAATTTCACCAATAATAATAAATAATAATAATATTCAATTATTTAATTTAGCATTACATAGCTTTTTATCTATGTAATCATGTCATAAATAAATGGTTAACATTAAAATATAAAACAGTGTAAATAAAAACAAGACATATTGATTTATAAAGATTTTTTATTTTTACCATTTCCTTCATAATAAATATAAAATAATATGTAAAGTTTAAGTATAATTTATTTACAAAAATTGTAGGAACAATTGGTAATATAATCTGAGGTAGATGATAATTATTGAAGTCAATACTAGTAAATAATAATAAGTAACCAAAATTGAATTTAGAAAAAAAAAAGTGCAGAATATTTATATTAGCTAGCTAGTAGGCGTTTTCTCTTAGTATTTGATTGAATACAATAAAAAAATAAAATAATACATACACAATGGATACACATTATATAACTATTACTTATTAGTTTAAAATTTAAATAGTCAAAATGGATATAAACTATTTATCATGACAGGTATAACAAATACAGTTTTTTTTAGAACTTTATTATAAATTGTATTATTGATGCAATTTTCATTCTGCAACTTAATCACTCCACTTCACAAAAACAATTAATTTTAATAAAAATATAAAAAATTAAATAAATATTTTATATTAGACTGATACTTCATAATATAGATCATTTAAAAGGGAATACCAAATGGCTAACCAATAATAATATTAAAGTACTCACACACATGGCATACATTTATTATACTTCAATATTTATTTAGATTACTATAGATTTATACTCAAATTATTTAACTACTAATCTTACATGAATAAAATTAATATACCTAAATATTTTAATAACAATTAGTTGTTATCAGAAGTTTCAAAATTTGTGTTTAATTTGACAACTAATATTTGGTTTATAATAGAAATTAAAATTGTTCATGATAATTTCCAGGGACAGAACTCTTTCAGCACCTAGCGTAAGAATTATTTTAGCACCTCTCCCTCTGTTCAAATTCTAATTTTGACCTTTCACACATATTTCTGATTTAGGCGCTTTGGGGGCTGTAATACACATCGACCTTTTCTAAAGCCGGTCCTGACAACAGTACAGCCATATGAGTGTTTAATCAATGTTCCAAAAGTGTACTTTGATAATTTTAACAAATAAAGTTGTATATACTATATACCACTTAAATAAATTTATAAATTTAATTAATTAAAAATGTATAAGAATACCAACTCCACTGATTATAATTAATCATTTCATCACATTACCATCTGTCCCACTGTATACAAATATTATTTGAATCTGTTGATATCAATAGTTGTCATATAATGTTTAAGTTATTTATTTTAAAATTTACTGATAAATTTAAAAAAAATCAAAATTTTACACCATAGTCTTATATATTTTAATATACTCACACAAAACAGTAAATTTGTAATAATACTAATATTAAAGAATACAAATAAAAGAAGAGATTCTTGAATTTATACCACTTACTTATAAAATAAAAAATTAAAATGATAAACTCTAAAAAAAAAATATACAGAATAAAAAAGTATATAAGGTTAAACATACAAAAAACCTTTATATTATGTACACAATTTTAAGGTTAGCTTTATTTGGACACTCAACTATCACAATTCAGTCCAAATTGTTTACAAAATTGATTTATAATACTATTAACATATTTTCAACCTTCAATGTACACACAGTACTCACATAAATATTAAAATATTGTCTGGATAAAAATATGTTTTATATTGTCATACATTATTAAGTTAAAGCATAATAAATAAAAACAGAACACAGAATACATATTAACAGAACAAACAGAGGCATGTACTATAGGTTATACATTTTGGTGATAATATACTTTAATATGTAAGTTCCACAAGTGGAAGCAAAATAAAACTGATATGTGTATCACACTATAACTCTTTATATACATGGTGGACAGTATTTTCTACTCGGACAAATAAGAAGATATGATAACTTATAATAAAATACAAAAAAAAAAAAAAAAAATTAAAAAAATGGCACAATTGTTAATTTATGATATATTATACTTCTAAAGGTGAGAAGTTTCTACATGATGATAATTAATAACCAAAAGCAATTATGCAAATAATATAAAATTATTAATTATTGTTGTTCAATATAATTATGGGTTTTCCAATGGAAAATAACAAAAAAAATTATTCCTCAGGATGAAACTTAAACACAATAATATTATAAGTAGTTAAAGTAATTTAAAAATTACAATTTTCATTTTAAAATAATAGAACCATTTTATAACACAAATTAATCAATTAGGTTCTTTAAAAATCACAGATTTAATAGAACTTTAAGATATGATTATGAAGTGTAATTTGTTGTATTTTTAATTTAATGATAGCATTGTAATATAAAATTATAATGTAAGACTATAGTTACTCAATTATAACTAAAAATAATAAACTTAAAGGGGATGGAATAGCTTCATTACATTATTGAACATTCGCAGCATTGCATGGCAAAGTATAAACACTCCATGCCACAACTAGTTTTGTCAATATCGTCATCAACTGGGTGTTCCTTAACAATACCGTTGGAAGGTTTGTCTCCAGCTCCACCAGATTTTCCATCACCATTACTCATATTGACAGGTCCATCTGCATCGTCCTTGGCTATCATTGGCTGATGAAACTCGGCAAGTTCAATTACTGATTCCTCACTGTCACGTTTTGCAGAATCTGCACTATTCAGACTATCAACCGAAGAATTGTCACCACCATTGGTCATCAATGTATGATTTGTAACGCTAATGTTGGCCTTACGGAACTGAAAAAAAAAAATGTTTACAAAAAAGAACAACAATATTTTACCTTTCCAGTCATTAAATTGACTGTATTAGATTCTAAACATTCTAAAATTTTAAAATCTCTGATCTCTGATTTTTAAAAATAATTACCGTAGGATAATTAGGTTTATTTTTATAATTTTAATGATGTCTCTCATAAATAAGGATGATAAGTAAAATAATAACAAAAAAAAAAAAAATTATCACACTGACCAGTTCGTTGTTTGTGGGACCGTCACTGGTGGTCGGAGCTTCTGTGATCACCTCGACGGGACCGTCGGTGTTTGCCTGAGTGCCTCGGTCCATGGTCTGCGGCCGGTTGTTAACGTTTTCCAGGAGCAAACGACCGGGCCGTGGATTCTGCCGGGAATGGAGCACAGACGCTATGAACGGGTCCGATGGTGGCTGAACGTTATGATGGAGTGTTGCTGCAGCAACGGCTGCGGCAGAGATGGCTGTAGTGGCTTTAGTGGTGAACGACGACGGCGACGAAGACGACGATGACGACGACCTTTTCTCCGACTCGATCAACCTGCAGACACGCAAAACGATTTTAGAACGAGAAAAATTTCAACAAAAAGACTAATCAGCCGCGCCAAAATCGTACTTAAACGTAATAACATTATTATTTTTATTGCTGTTGTGTTTTTCGTAGTGATCTTTCCACAGAAAATAGATCAACAGGTGCAAACATACGAGTTGAAAATCGTACAGAAAAGGTACGTTGTTCATGGTAATAACTAATATTATTAGTTAATACGATAAATTACGTTAAATTTACAACACACAACGATCTAATAAAATTATATTTGGAGTCCGTATAACTACCACAACTGGTTTACATAAGAAATACTTTACGACTGTGCGATAAATATTAATAAACTACCAGGCACTAAATCATATTTTAAAATGCACCGTGTAATAATAATAATAATAATAATAATAATGCAAGACGATGGGTTTGTGCGTGGTTTTCGTTTTCCCCTCCGATAACTCTGCGATATCTATAACAGTGTAAAGTATTATATTTTATTATTATTATACGACCGAGAAGGAACCGACTACCCAAGTACCGCCACCGAATCGTATGCCAAACGATCTCGGGTTACATAGATTGTGCATTACACTGGTTGGGTGTTGTTCGTCAATAAGAAACATTCACATGCAAAACTAAATGAAACAGTTTGTCGATTAAGCAAATTATTATTACACGTGGAAATCCGAGAGTCGACAGACGATTCCACAATTTACGGAATATATTACAATGACCGATATTATAGTGATTATTGATTACAATAACATTACACAATCTTTATTATTATTGATGGTTGGGCATATTAATATAATGACTAAATGTTGTTTCATTTTTAATCTACTGCTGGCTCTTGTGCTGTAAAACAATAAAAATAATTCATATTATAGCCATTAGGGTTGAAGTTTATAACATTGTGTATGTATATCCGCGTGTAAACGTTTATTTTTAAATTTCAGAAATCTTATCGGTCGACCTCTGGCAACTATTGCACACCTGTTGCACTGTGCTTATATTATACATATAGTCCAACACGTTAACGTTGAACATTGTCTAAACTGTGGAAAAAGGTCACTAATCAGTGCTCAATGCCTCAATGTACGCACAGAACTATATTTTACCGAGGATGTCTTGACTTTAAGGAGATAATCCTTCCCCTCTCAATTATATTTTTTGTTTAGATTTTTTTCTCGTTTCAGGTTCTACATAGGTAAATTGATATAAATGTGAATACCTAGTATGACTAACTACATTTACGGACTTATGATAATTGATAATAAAAAGTAAAGTACAAGTAATTCACATCATACGCTTATTTCATTAATAAATTGCATAAAAACAAACGTACAAACGTACACCTACGCGTTGTAAAATGTCAGTATTTTTTTACGATTGTTATTGTGTCATTTATACATTGTATCATGTTAATCTTATTTTAATTGTATATTTATCTAAATAAATTTATAAAATATTACGTTTATCTAAATAAATTATGGTTTTTTTTTTTAATAAACATTGTTAGTGCATAGGAAATGAAGTCCCTATTCCTTGTTGAAACAATATGACTAAATAACTTACAATAATAGTAAAATGAACAAAATATTTTAAATTATATGAATAATTAAAAACCAGGAAACTCGTTCTTCTACGTAATATATATTTCGAGCTAACCCCCCTAGTTACTGTAATGGATGTGTTAAATATGAATTAATGAATAAATAAACGAAAAATGATTCTGAGTGAAGACAGATATACACATCGATCCATAAATTAAATTATAATTATGTAAAATCGAATAAATAAAAAATAAAAAAAATGAAACAGATGATAAAAATGTCCTTATTGTTAAAAATGTATTATCATATATTACTTTATAAATTTTAATGTACTTAAGATTAAAAAGAAAAAAACCATTCTTCAACCAATATCTCAACATATTTTATTGTTTGAAAATTTTACTAGAATTATTTTCATCAATTTGCATGTATTTCACATTTGCACGATGACAACATAAATATTGACACATTATGCGTATTCATGCTATTAAAACTGTACGTACTTTGGAATGTGTATAGTCGTACTGCCGCTGACAATTTCATGATATTGTAATAATGAGCGTAATGCCGTCATAGCAGCAATGAATAGGTCAAAATAATCAAATTGAGATATTTATATCTTAATTGACGGTTTAAAATATATATACGTAATGATATTATTTTATAATCACCGCTGGTTACCAACGTATAGATTAATTAAACACAACAATACCTGTAGTTGTCCCCGTAACGACATGTAAGCTTTAGATAATGCAAGCTGCACAACTATCAGTAAGTTACCTTGTTATACTTAAGTAAAATATAAGTAAAAGTCTTACGTTTCAAGACGATACGACAGCTTTATCGTATGGTGTCAAAAAGCTGAGCTTTATCCAAAATTACTTGGTACGTGAATAATATTATAATCACAACTGCCATTTAGAATACGATAAATAAAAACACAAGACACTTTAAATGATGAAGCTGTGATACGCTTTTAGTAGTATTATTACAAATTGCTTATTATCAGCGAATCAGTTTACTTTATATTCAAGGCGCACTATATAGGCAGTAAATTTATACGAGTGTATGTGTTGGAGTGTGAAAACTGTAAATAATATAATATTACAAAAAATGTTAATTAACATATTTAGATTTTAGAGTGACTTCGCATGAACAACCACGTAAAAGATGCTATACCTTGTAGTTTTTGCATACATAAGCCCATATTATAAAAATACAAATTATATCAAATGGCATGATAAAAATTGTTTCTGTATTATAGTTAGGTGAAGTTTTTCGATTTCTGTAAATATGTTTGTTAAATCGTTTTTAACTATTTAAAAATGCACCAAATAATAGAGATTAAACCAAACGAAAATTCTCTGAAATTTAATTTTACTAGTTTTTATATTTGGCGGTAAGTAGATCAAATAATTTCGGTAAAATAAACACGACCAACGACGTACAACTTTAATTATAATAATCTTAAAGTATCAAATATTAAAATATTCAGATAGTTACTTGATATATGTATGAAACATGAAACCAAAATTTGAATAGTTTCAAATCTTTCAATGAATTTACCATTATACACATAATATTAAATATTCTTAATATAAGTATGCATATAACGGTAAATTATATATATTTACACTTTATCATAAAATATTTTTAAACACATTTTACAGTAAAATATTTAATTTAAATTTTATTTGAACTAGAAAGAAGAAGTAAAGATTTATCCAAATCAAAACTAACAACTATTATTACAAATGATTACATTTTATTTTTACCTATCAACGATTATACTTAATGAACTCATAATTGTACTAATTTAAAATTTGTATTTTAATACGTCCGTGCAGATATTTCTGAGTTACACGTATTCAGTCCTAAATAATGACTTAGATTTTAGTTATTACATAATAACCACTGTAAAACTGGAAATAGGTCACAATTTATAAGTTATAAGATATTTGAATTATTTAATAGACACATGTCACATATAGAGTAGGTGCCGTCAAACGTTAAACGTTAATAAGGAGACACTGAAACACTGTAACAGGGCTAGCAAAACACAATAATCGAAAAATTCAGATAGAAAGTTTTATTAAGAAAAAAATTCACCCGTTGAATAAATAAAACATTTTTTTTCTATTGTCCTTGTAATTTTATTTATAAAATAAATTGAATTTACAAATCTTATAATAAATGACAATTAATGCACGTTTGTGAAATTATTTAAATATATAACAATTAATAAGTATAAAATTTATATTTCTAGTTGTATGTGTATATACCAAGTTTTTAAATCAAATAAAGATAATGATAAAATTTCATTGCATTATACTTATAATATTATGCAAAAAATTTCAAAACATTATTCCATGAAAATTTTTAAAAATATTAATTCGAGTTGTACAATATTGTACTACTTGAATACAAATATTGTCATACTGCTAAAAATAATTATACGAAGACATAAAGCATATCAAACAAGACATTAACAAGAATGATAATTTGAGATTTTTAATATTCTAGGACAATGTTTTAATTTCCAAAAAAACCAGAAAAAAGATATCACCATAAATTTTAATCATAAGTAAATTTAATCTAATATTTAAACTAATAAAGCCAAAAGAGAACTTTTAAACGCAAATTTGCATTTAAAAGGCGGAGATACAATTAAAATATTTTTTTCTCCAGTATTCGTAAAAATAAGCCTAAGAGTCATAGCGTAATTTAAAGATAATACCATAAAAAATTTGTTGACAAGAAACATTTTTTCTCTCAAATTGTTATTACATTAGATGGTCGTTAGTATTAAATAAAAATCAATACATTCAACACTGTCTTCAAACTATTAAAAATAGATTACCTTAATGGTAAACCAATATCTAGTTTTTGGTATTTTAAGTTTTAGTAAAATTAACATACCGCAAAGGTACAATAATTATTAATAATTGTCAACATAATGTTTAAACAGATAAAAATAAAAATGTTTAACATTAAAAATATATACTAACTACCCATTTACCTTTACATCATATATTCCTATATACTTTACAAATATTTATATTTTATAAAAACTATAAAATAATAAAAATGAAAATAGTAAAAATAAATATTAGTGTCATGATTTATTTTTATTAGACAAGAATGAAGTAATACAATTAAAAAATACCATTGAATTAAGTCTAAATATATGTTGTTAATCGCTAAAAAATAAATACATATATGAAATTAGAATACGGGCAATTATTTTAATAATAACACTAATTACTAGAAATCAATTAATATTTATTTATGAAACATTTAATATACATGTCTTTTTCAACATGTTAAATTATCCTCACATTTACACCCTTAAGTTGATCATTTTGAAATTATAAACATTCTGTATTTTCACCAGTAAAAGAATACCACTGTATTTATGTACAGAGTGCATGTATTCTTTTTAAA